AAAAAAAGCAAAACTTAATAATGTAAACCCTAGTAATATACAATCTACTCTAGAAGAATTTTATAAAATATATGAATTTATTTAATAAAGAATTAAAGATTAAAGGCAAAGATTTAATAATGTATAACTTTTTTAATAAAAAATTTTAAAAAATAAACAATTTTAAAGAAAGTAAAAATTTAATAATATAAGTCTTGTCTAATAAAAAAAAAAACCAAAAATTTAATAATATACAATTCTGTTTAATATAAATTTAAAGAAATGAAAAATTTTTAAAAAAGCAAATACCTTAACCCTAAACTAACTTTAATATAAACTATAAGCTCATCCTAACCCTAACTATCTTTAATCACCTTTATCAATTCTTTAATATCTAATACAAATTAATGCCAATATCATTCAATAAAAATATAAAATTTAATAAATAAACAATTTTAAAATTTAATACAACAGATAAGACTTGTTCAATAAAAAAAAGCAAAAATTTAATAATATGCGATTCTGTTTAATATAAATTTAAAAAACAAAAAAATTTTAAAAAGATGAATACAAATTAATGCTAATATTATTTAATAAAAATTTAAAAAATATAAATGTTTAAACATTTTTAAAAATATAAAAACAAACTACTTTAATAATAAAAATTAAATAATATAAATTAGGACACTTTTATATTTTTATTAAATATAAAAGTGTTCTAATTTATATTATTTAATTTTGTTTATTTGTTTTATTATTTTTATCAATATTCCACCATCCTTTTAAACACATACAAGCTCTAATAGTTTCTGGACTTAAATTATTTCGTTTATCAGTTATAAGATTTTTACTACTAGAAAATACTCTTTCAACTGGAGTACTTGTAGCTAAATATAAAAAATTACAATTATAATTTAATATTTTATAAATATATACTGTATTTATAAAATATAAGTTATATAAATTATACCTTGAATTGCCAAAAAATTTCCTGCCATTTCGGCTAAATGTGGTAATTCCATTTCATAATTCTATAATTAATATTAATTTTTTTTTATATAGTAATAATAATAATAATGTTATAATATAATTCTATAATACTTACTTTCCACCATTCTAAAGTATCTATTTTTATTTCTTTCGGATTAATGGCTAATTCTCTTAAATAAATAGCTAACTCATCTCTATTATCTATTTTACGCTTTTTAAAAATATTAGTTAGCATTTTATTTTGAGTATCATCATTATCAGTAGAATTATCATCAGTAATATCAATATTAGAATCATCTTGAGTATCACTATCATCTTGATTATTATCATCAGTATAATTTTGTTGAACATTTTTAGAAAGTTGATATTTAGATTTCCACAAGGCTTCTATTTGTCATTTATAAGCTTCAATATAGTCATCAAAACCATGCTCTTTATAATATCTTAATTTAAGCCTGGGATCTAAAACTAATTAATTAAAATATAAATAAATATTAAATATGTTGTATAGTAATTTATAAATTAATTTAAATATAAATTATAAAATATATTATACTTGTTCCAACAATATAAGCCAATCCATCTGTTGTTGGATAATATTTTTCAAGCTTGGTTTTAGCAGCTTGTGCTGCTTTTTCAATAGTTGAAATTTTACTTTTTTTGATAAATTTTTCTAACTCATCAAGTAAAAAACTATAAATTGGAACCATCATTCCAATTGTTGAATATTTACTACCACTAACATATCTTGTAGCAGTTTCAAAACACTAAATTTAAATATAATATATATATAAATAATAAAATATAATTAAAATTAATTTAAATTTTAAATTATAAATACCTTCATTAAATTTTTAATTTCTTTAAATTGTTTCCAATCATCTTCATATAATTCATATTTTTTTATTTCTTTATCAATGGATATTATAATATTAATTGGCTAAAAATATTTAATATTATTAATATAATAAAAAATATATTATATAAAGTATTATATTATAAATATTATTTAATAAATATTTACCTTCTTTAAATCAAGAGCTCTTTTAATCATATAGTAGGTAGAATTCCATCTAGTTTTCACATCCATAATTAATTCAAGTTTATTTGAATTATATTTCATAAATTTTTCTTTTCTTTGAGGTGTTGAACGAGCAAATAAAATGATTTTTTGAAGCTATTTTTTATAAAAAAATATTTAATTTTATTTGAATATTAATAATAAATATTAATTTAATTATCTTTTTAATTGCAGTCATCGAATATCTTGTTTTGCCAAATTTTCTTCTTGATCCGGACCTTCAGCTTTAAGATTTTTTAAAATATCTTGAGCAGCAAGATTAATAATATGTTCAAAGCATCGAATTCTATAATTATTTTCATCAAATTCTACTTCTTCTTGACATAAATCAGTAAAATATTCAAACATTGTATCATTATTAGAGGCATTATCAGTTGTAATTGCTAATACCTATATAATAAATAAAAATTAATAAAAATTAAAAAATTAAAAAATAATTATTTAAAAAAATAAACCTTATTTAAAATATTGTAATTTGTTAATATTTCGAATAAAATATTAGCAATATTTTCTCCTGAATGTATGCCTTCTAATTTAATAAATTCAATTGTCATTTGATTTAATTTCCAATTTTCATCAATCCAATGGGCTGTAATTCCCAAAAATGAGTCTTGGACTGGTGATGACCAAATATCAAGAGTTAACGAAATTTGACAAGATAAATTTTAAAAAAAAATTAAATTAATTATATAATATTAAATAATTAAACAAATTAAAATTAAAATATACCTGAATTTATTTTTAATATTATTATACTCAGTATTATATACTGACATAATTTTATTTTTAATTGTATCAGCTAAAGATAATTTTGCTTCATCACTAATATAATTTATTATATCTTTAAATCCATCTTCTTCAATAATTGTAAATGAATGTCATATTTTACAATCCATTTAACTATTTTATTTGTAAATTCTTCTTGTTTATAATTTTATAAAAAAAAATAATAATTAAAATAAATTATTAAAATAAAAAAAAATTAAAAATTGTATTTAAAAATTTACATTTTTATTTTTTTTTATCTCTAATTTTTCAAAATTAAAATTATGAACATTTCTAAGATGAGTTCTTAAAGTGCTAGTAGAACTATCTTTTGGTTTTTTATATTTATTTCTAGATTAAAAAAAAGTTTTAAATTTATATTTATAAAAATAATTTTAAATTTAAATATAATATAAAACTTACGGACAAAACTTGCATTTAAATTGTTTTGTTGTTTTATTAAATCTATAATCTTTATAAGCAATTGGAAGTGATTTATTTGCTTTTTTAGGATTTGGCTGATCTTCTATATCTTCAAAACTATTAATATCTTTAAATTCATTTTCTAGATCTTGAGAACTACTAGATTCATCAATAGTATTAACTTCTATATCTTGAGAATTACTAGATTCAATAACAGGATCAACTTCAAATTTATCATTTTCAAAACTATTATCTATGTTTATAGGAGATTGTGACATATTTTTTAAGTAAAAAAATTATAGATTTATTAAAATTAATTTTTAGAAAATAATACTATAGCTAATGTTAAAAATTTTGAAAAAATTTTCTAACTATAATATCTATATACAATATATATATTTTTTAAACCCAAAAAAATTAGATAGTATATTATTTATATACATAATTTAATATATTCTAAATATAGTAATTTAATATATTACATCAAACTGATTTTCCTTGCAGTATATACGTTATACGTACTAATGCAATTCTGTATTCGACTATTGTAAGAAATGTTCTACAGGACATTATCCTAAAATAGAAGTTTAAAGACAATTGTCCTGGACAGTTTTGGATATTATATCTCAGTTCCACATTTTGGATTTATATATATACGACACTAATTGTAGGTGCTTTTAACCTTCTAATTAGACTAAACAAAACAAAACGATGCTTATCAAATAGTTAAATAATAAAATTAATTGAGTGCCGCAAGGAAAAATCTGCAAATCTTAAAAGATTTGCAGATTTTCCCTTGCGGTATTCAATTATAGAAAAAAAAACTATTGTACTGTACATATTGGCATTTATTTAATTTTTTTGGATACAATAAATATGCATCAGTGTTAATAACTACTTTTTCTAACTTTTCTAAACAGTGTTGGCAAACAGTTTGTTCATTAGTACTTATCAATGATAATTACCAATGAACAAACTGCTTGCCAACACTGTTTTTAAATGTAAGGAATAGTAAAGTTAAAAATTAATTATATTTGTTAGTTGAACCAATTAAACCTAATTCAACATACACCCGATTATAGTACTTTGCAAAAAACTGTGGCTACTTGATTTATGTAAGATGTTCAGGAAAAATTTCTGATTGTTGTTTTATATTTTTTAATAGTTACGCTTATATTTCTTTGAAATTGAGTAACCAAATCAAATAGGGCATAAAAATTTATTCAATTGAGGTTATATGTGAAGAATCTGCCAAGGAGTTGATTCTTTTCTCAACTTATGAACACTACTCATTCAGCGGGGCTGAAGCATATTGGCTCTCTACTGTAATAGCTGCATTTATAGCGGGTTACCCTATTCGCTCACATACTTAACCCTTTAACCATCCTTAAATTGATAGAATCTCCGATTCCTACACAACATTGCGAAAGGTCACATCTTTTTGCACAGTTAAACAGAATTGGTTTTGTCCTAAAGTTCCTAATTGTCCTATATTTTCACTAGTGTGAAAGTACTAACAATGACATAAATACACAAACTGAAATCTACATGGTAACTGTAAAGCAAATTAAGGGTGATTATGGAATAATTATGGTTGGTTATCATTAATACAAAGAAGAAAACAAAACGTTTGAATATTAGGGATTTTAAGACCTAAGGTTCAGATTAAATTAGTGCCGTATTAACTTTGTAATCAGCGATCTATAAGCAAGCCTATTTATATTAATATAATATACATTATCAAAAAAAGTTTATTTTATCTCTGGCCTAGTTTGTATTGGATAATGATGCTATGATCTAGAGTAGGGTACCTGGTGTGGCATTTATTGGCATGCCATTACGGATAACTCTTTTTCAAAATTTCTCAAAGTTTCACTTATTTTCAAATTAAGTTAACTCTGAAACCTCCATTATCAAAATCTGATAATCAACTAAGGCTATTTGAAATTAAAATTTCATTTAACGTTCTCTTCTTACCTCCAAGAGCTATACAATATAATATAATATTTGTTTAAATTCCTCTACTGCGCTTATACTTCAAAAGGGAACGTTAAACGAAATTATAACTTCAAATAGCCTAACTATAGTTTGATTTTTATTCAATTCCACTAATATTGGTATAAGAAATTAATAAATTATAAAGCTGGTTAGAATCAGGTATTATGTGAAGAACCAAAATTAGTAAATCAATATATTTCCGGATCTTATTCAGAATTTTAATAATAAGGGCATTATTTTTGGGAATACTGTAAGCTTTGGCTAACAATAATTGAATCTATTTCAATTGACCTCTAATTCGTCACTTCTCTATAGTCCACTGATTCAAATATTTGCTGCAATATCAATATTAAATGATTTTTTAGATAATTATTTTCATTTCAAACCCTAAATTGAGACCATTTTACATAATGTGACTATGATAGTGATTAGTTTTAAATGAACGTTATTATGAATTCATAATGCATCAAAGCAAGAATAAGTGACTTGTTTCATGGTGCTAATTGACTGGCAAAAATTTTAAGAAATAAAATACAATATTGAAATTATATTTTGTATAATTTTAATATAAGAATTTAATTTTATTCAATAATTTTAGTATCATTACTGTGTCAATAATAAGATAAGCTACGAGTTTGTAGAGTTCTCTATTTTTGAATACATAGCTTTATTTTAGAAGCTATCGCTATTCTAAATTGTTTGCCCAAAAAATCATAAAATCTGAAGTTATAGAATTGCCAAAAGCCTCTGTAATGACATTTCAGATATGATGACTCCAAAACCATTGTTATAGAACGAATTAATTATTAGTTTATTATTTTATTATTTATTATTTATCAATTATTATCTTAGAATATTATTA